CTGCTGGACTGAAAAATCTGAGTAGCACTTTCCTGTTTTATTTCATTCCTGAATCTGTTTACAAATCGCCTAATCTTGAACTGGTCTTGAACTGGTCCAGCTTCCTTTTTACTCAAGGTTATTTTCAGACATCAGTCAAAGCTAGTTAGATAACTTAGTTGTGCATATGCAGTGCTTCAGGGTTAAGCTTTGGGAAGAAAACTCATTGTTTGTTCACTTTATCAAAAAGGTTGCTATTTCTACTCTCAAAACATTGTGAAATTCAAAACGTTGTGAAATAACTTCCCTTTTTCCTTGGTTGCTTTGGATATAATTAGTGGGTTTGAGGTGCTGTCCCAAAAGACACGCTGTTATATCCCTAGTTATGATCAGCCAGAATTTATCATTTCATGATCAGTGGCTTTAGATCAAACTTGCTACCCTATTTGTATAGAAAGAACGAGGGCTACCCTCTAACTAGATTTTTTCAAGTATTTGGGCAATGTATCTTGCAAATCCTTCATTTAACATCTGCTTTTCTATAGATCCTTTTTTTTCTGACATGCCGCCTATCCAGTGTTCCTATCCATGCTTTCTATCCAATCCCTTGTGCTATGAATAGGTGATTTGAAAATTATAAATCAGACAGAAGCGTGTTCTAGAAACTCTAGCTTAAACCTCTATTTTAGGTGCGTAGAAGAATCTGTAAATGACAGCAAAAATGTAGCAGCCCAATGTGAAGACAGTTCGGTCCAGCAGGTAAGATACCTACAAAGCGGAGGTAAATACCAACCCATGCTGACCTAGGTGAATCCAAGTGAAATCAGTGATCCCTTTACGTGGGTTCAGACAGCTGCAATAGCGCGTATAATCAGAGAGGCTCCAGCGAAGAGAATGAGATGTATACAGAAACTCTCTGCTCTACTGGGATACTGAACCTGGGAACACGACCTGGGAATGTGTCCTAAACTGACTTGTGATTTGAGGCACTCAGCACATACATAACAATGCCAAAAATGAGAACCCTGTATTTTGCTGTTTTCAGTAATTCTCCGATGTTGTAGGAGGGAAGGGCAGAAGTCAGTCGCTGGAGTAAATATCTGGACAAGGACAGTGAAGATCAGGAAGATGGGGAGGAGGAGGCAGGTACAGAAGGGCAGCAGTTCTGTTCCCGGAGGAAGAACACTGTGGAAGAGCAAAGGTACAGAAAGAACTTCCTTTTTTTTTTTGTGTAATTCCTGTCCCTGAGTGGTGACATTTGGTTTGGAGGTGTGGGAGGTAGCTCGTCTCTGATAGCTGAACAAAGTACAGGTTGCAACGTACGACCTGAGCTGAGCAGGGATCTAGTATTTGGGGGTAAAACTTCTCTTATTGCTGGAGCCATGCATTTTATGAACATTTCTGGTGATTTGTGAAATAAATTCACAGTGGAGCTGATCTGTCCTCTTTGTCTTGGCCAGGAAACACCAGAAGACCTTCCTCTCCAGTGACGTTCAGGAGTATACAGAAGAAAATGGAGTTTTCCAGCTTGCCTACCAAGCCAAAAAGGTTAAAACCTCTGAGGTATTTTAGTTATAGAAGATGCTTCCTACCAGTAAAACAGAACAGTGTTCTCCTGACCTCTTTTGTGTCATCATAATTTTGAAGTTTTATGAGTCTTCCTCTGCTCTTCTGTTTGAATGACTGGGGAGGAGAAGAAAATTGTGTCAGGAGTTTCTCTCTGGAAGGTTTTAGTCAGGCAAACACAGTGCCAACTTGTGTAAGCTGAGTGGTTGAGCCGGATTCCTCTATCAGCACAGTTGCAAACTATGCTGCTTTGCCTTACCGAGTAGTGGCACCTGTGTAGTATGCGGTTATTAAGGCTACTGTGATTACCTGCAGCGCCATGAAGTTGGCCTGAGCCTTCACAGCCCCGAGTTCATAGGCCCACCCACCGCATCAGCCTCAGCTCTGCCTCAGAGGGCTGGTGAGAATCTGGGAGCAGCTGAGGGACCTGAGTGCTCTTTACCTGCTTCTGTGCAGCTCGGCTGCGCGTGCTGGATTTATAACCAAGCTCTTTCTTCTTACAGCGCAAGAAATGTGTAGTAGCAGTGCCTGATCAAGATGACAGAGATGCTGTTTCTGAAGACAGTATGGTTCCCGCTGTCTGTGAGTCCGTAGTGCCTGAGGAGAATACACAAACCCCAACTGCTTGTACCAAGCCCTCGAAGTGGGAAAAATTTCTCTCATGTTCTGACAGCTACAGCAAAAATGCTGCCAGGGGTACCTTGCCATCACAGGAGGGCAGTGGAAGGTTGGGGCTACACAGCACTGCTGCAGCAGATACTGGTATGGCCAGTAGATGCTCAGAACAGGCTGGAAAAACTCTACCTCAAGGAACAGGGTTTGACTTTAAAAAGTGTGTTGCTAGCACGGAGCGGCTTGCCTCAAAAGTGCCTGGTGCCATGGTGCCCAGCACCAGTTGCTCAGCTGAGGAGGATGTGTTGTTCGAAGAACCTCAAAGCCAATTGGTAAGGGCAGGACCTGGTATCTTAGAGACCACTGCAGGACGGCGCTGTTTGGATAGCACAAGGAGGGCAAACATCCGTGTTAACACCGGGCCAAAGCCTAGCAGTGTTTCTTGTGAACACCTCTTCTGCACTGGTGAGGAGTTTGATGATGATCTGTGACAAGTTCAGGCATCTTTGGCATTGCTTTCTTGTTTGGCTCTATAATGTATTTGGTATGTTTCGTTCTGAGGCAGGATTTTGACCTGAAGATGGCTTTACTCTAAGCCTTACAGAACTGCACTATTAAAGTTGTTTACTTGCTCTGTGGCTGTGTTTGGGGGAAGGGTACGAGGTGGGAAGAGACTGTTGCAGTGGGCAAGTACTAGGGTTACACAGTGTTGTCTAGCAACCTCAAGAGCTAGAAGTAGGTCAGCTTGGGGGGGAAGAAAGCTCCAAGGATTCCTGACCAGTACAATTAAATTCTGTGATTAGTTCCCCATTACCAGCTATAGCTTTTTTCCCCCTGTGCTACCTCTTTGTTTAGATCTCCCATAGCAACCCTTTCTTCCAGAGCAGGCTTCAGAGCCAGCAAAGCATTTGATTTCTCTTCAGAAGTGTAGCCCTAAGGGGGTACACCAAGGTGTGTGCAAAAAGGCAGGCCTACAGTCCTGGGCTGCCTCCCTTGCACAGGGAGCTGCTTGATGAAATCACATGCTCTTAGCCAAGTCCTTCCCCTCTTTTAACTAAGTAATCCAGCTGTGATACTTAAACACTCACACAGACTCATCACAGAAGTAGTATTTATTTTTCTTCCATTCTACAAGCACTTAGGAACATGAGACAGAAACCCTTAGCAGGAAGAAAGATGAACCACTGTGTAAGTTGTACTGCATTGTTTGCTTTCAGTTAGAAGGGAAGTGCTTTTTGTTACACAGACCACTACAAGTGAGGTGGCTGCTTGGAATACTGGATGGCATCTAGCGCTGCCCCGATGTCACAGTTCTTTGTCTGCAGGAGTCGAGTGAGCCACCCACCCTCATCAGAGAAGCCCATAGACAGCATCTGGGACAGAGATTCGATGAGGCGAGGGTCTGCTTCTGTTAAGAGAAGAACAGTTTGAAGTTGAAGTATATCATGTAATTGGCAAACCAGCCACGGATTTAATACCATCAAGTAGGCAGGTTGGTACTAATTCTAGTAAATCTAGCATAGCTGGTTAAATGCTAGGGGACCTGCTCTCCTTTGTCTCCCAGGGGGGCAGATGTCGGAGGCAAGATACATAACCAGCTAAGGAAACTGCTGAGTCAGACTCAGCTGGCCTTGCTGCAGGACTGTGCTGTTGACCTCAGTTAAGTGGCCTGCCATACTGTTACTGGCTCCCACCAGAAAAAACGCTGTCTTAAAGCCACAGGATGTACTAGTCTGCATCCTGCATTAACGCACTCTTGAAGAGTCCATAGCAAGGATGTGATTTAGGATACCACCTTTTTTCATGTTGCCTGAATGGCATATTAGTCTAAGGTCAGAAGTCTTGTTAACTTAGCTGCCCACATGCAAGAGGAGAACCACCTGACTGTCCCTAACAGGGTGCGAGAGCTGCCATTACCTGCTAACAAAGTTTGGACAACTTTAGCTGGAACTTATGTGACCTTGGTTTCTGCCATCTCTAACAGCAGGTCTGCTGATGTCGGGCAAGTTGGTGGTTCCTGAGTGAAAATTACTCTCGGTTATGAAACCTGCAAACATTCTCATACCTGGCGGGAGATGTGGGTAGAGTGCAGCTTCTCGCAGTCCTGTAGGGCCTGGCTGGGGAGGATCCTGAGATACATCCAGGGAGCTGGGACCCTCTGTCTCCGGCATTTGCAGAGACTGCAGTTCACCTGTGGAAGGATCCACTTCTTTGGAAGATAAGTGGGTCCAGTCCTCCTCGCCCCCTGATGAACTGCTGGACTCACTGTGTTCCTGAAATGGAAAGAAAAAGGTCCAGGTGCTGCAGTGCTTTCCAGGTAGGATGCATGCTCCTACTATCTGCCTTTAATACAAAGAGGTACATCCACAAGAAGTCCCACCCACCACCTTTGCTGTAAACCTCTAAAGCAAAGGTGCTGTATATCACATAATCTGCTGACATCTTAATATTCAATCCCACAATGCATGCTAAATGATTATCGTCCTTTCCTCAGCAAGCATGTTAAATTAGTGCCACAGTTCTTGTACCTGGGACTGGAAGCTGCCGTCTTCCATTTGTGTGGGCACAGGATCTATCACCATGTCTTGTATCTGCTCTGCAACAGCATTGATTTCTGTAGCAGAATCTGTGTTATTCCAGTCTGGTTTGGTCTGAACATTCTGGTTGAGAGTACTGCTGCTTGACTCGGCACTGTTCTTCTCTGGACTGGGAGAAGCAGGAGTCACTTTGCTTCTCTGTCCTCCATGCTCCACATCAATATCAACTTCAATACCTAGAAATGCATTTGAGATGGAGGAAGTCTTACAGAGATTTTTTTTCCAAAGCACACTCCTAGAAGAGCATGGATCAATGCTAGTCTAAATGCTGTAAGGTTTCTGTAACCCTACAGTTTGCCATGTAACATGGAGGAATTAAAATACAAAGCATTCTTTAAACAAAGAATAGTTAAGCACCAAATAGTCATCTTCCTCTAGACACACAAGCCATACATTAGAGGGCCAGGGCAGAAGTTATCTATGTCCACATAAGCCAGGCAAAATCCTGAGCCACCACTGACTTACAATTAGCGTTACAGTGGTGACATGTTAATGAAATCTTTCCTCATTTCCTTCCAAAGGAGACCTCTGAAAAGGTACCAAGTGGCTCTTCTAAGCCTAGGCATTACTAGTGCCAGGAGTAAATTAAGCCTTCAAGGTTTAGTAGCATGAGGTAGTTCCGGTATCCGTCAACAGCTGACTGCTGCTCCTGTTAAAAGGACCTTTAAGCCAGTCGCAGGGACTGGGATAACAAACTGCAAGTCACTTACCCAGGGGGCTCAGAAAAGCTGCAACACTCTCCCCAACATTCTTTAAGAAGGTGACGTTGGGGTCCTGAGGCTGGCTGTTAGTAGAAGCTTCTAGAAAAACAATTTCTGTTAGCACACACAGAAGCTCAGAGAGAAAGAGCACCTACAGAGCGTATCCCCATGAGACCTCGGTGCTCCTTTCCTGTCACTCACATACACTGCACAACAGAGACAGTATAGACACAAAAACTAATTCTGAGCTATCTCTGGAACAGAAAACCAGTGGCATTAGCGTTGTTAAGGCTCATTAGCCATGCTGAAAGGCAGATCTGGAGTAGTGACATGCTTGACCTAACAGCTCGGCTTGGTTTGGTTCCAGATAGTCTCTGCATCCTCATCTACTGCATGGGCCCACGCATGCCTTAAAATAATCCCACTCTGTGCTGAAAGGTGCTACTTATATTTCAAGCGAATTAGATTAGTTCCTGTGTCTGTTTTTCCACCCCGATTCCACCCTGTGCTGCAGAACCTCAGCTACTCCGGCTCCGCCACCACCTTGTTTACCAGAGCAACCCCTCTTACCTTCTGCAGTGGGCGGACTGGAGGCTGCAGCACCGGCCTGGGCTTGTTCGGAGCTTTGACATGGAGCTACAGGGCCGGGATATCCCCAGCAGTGCATCCACGGGAAGGGTGGAACACCGTGCCGCATTTTTCGGAGCCAGCGTCCTCGGGGAATCCACTGTAAAGGGTAACGTTCATGTGACTCTGATCACACAGCCAGATTCTGAGTTACTGAAACTTCTGACTTAAATTTGAGGAATATCCTATTCCTTAGTTCCCCTCCATAGATTTTGCTCACCTCAAATGGTTTTAGCAGTGGGCTTTGAAACATCACCATGTTGTGCTCCTTGTGGATGCCTTTACCCTCGCAGGTGCTGCACAGGTCGTAGTCCGGACAGACGGTGCACTTGAACCTGGCACCCACCACCGGGCCTTCACAGCCGTCACAGATCACATTGGGGTGCACCATGTCGCGGGGAGGCTCCTGGCTGCACTGCGAGCGATGTTCCCGCCTGCACTCCTTTTTCTCTGTTACGGAAAAGAAAGGAAACCTTGCATCAGGAACAAGGTTACTATTTAAAGGCTGGAAATTGGGCAGAGAAGGAAGCACAAACAGCCCTTGTCAGAGCAGTATTGACTTACTCGGTTTATTTTTACACTGGCTGCCACACATGTGCTGGGGGTATGTAAGAGACCTTAAACCAAGGGCGGAGGGGTTTCGCAAAGATACCTGCTCCTCAAACTGAGGATGCCTTATCCTTAACAGTCTCTTGGCATGTTTATTTTAGATTAGTACTGCACTACCCCACTTGGCTTCTCATCCTACCTTCCTAAGCACTGCAAGAACAAAATGTTTCTGGAGAGGGAGTTAGGAAGAAATGCCAGGAGGCGTAACAGATGGGAGTGGGGACAACAGCGCTGGCTCCTGTGTTGGACGGACTGCAGAGGAAGCTTTGCAGGTACCTGCGTGAACAGAGGGGACCAGGGAGCAACTACGCGCTGAAGATTAAGCTGGGATTAAGGCTGCCTAACACACTGTTGTGACTATTAAGGGTACCGGCGCTAGTCTAGCATTTCCAGGGAGACAGCGTGACAACAGCGGCTCGCACTGGGCCAGCTGCGATGACAGGGCTGGGAGGAACCCTGCCATCAACACCCCACCTCAGCAGGGAGGATTCGCGTTCTGGGGTACCACCCTGCCCTTATTTAACCTCCCCCCGAAGGCTGCAGCTTACGCCGGGCCCCTGAGGACAAGGGCAAGGGCCAGGGCTCCGTCTCGCCTTTTCGGAGGCCTGCCAGCGAGCAAGGCCGGAGACCGGCTACCGCCCTTCGTTACCTTTGACGTAAACACGAAAGACACCGTCCTGCACGTAGGGCATCGCCATCTCCAGCTCCTCGTCGGTGGAAAAAGCGATCAGGTCCCCGTCTTCGTCTGGAATGGGCAAAGCGCGGGATTAGGCGCCCGGTTCAGGCGTCGCGGGAGGGCGGCAGGGACCCGCCGGGCCCCCGCCGCCCCCCGGCGCC